GGTCTGCAGGGGTCAGAAGAGGCTCCGTGCTGGGTGGGGTGTCACTGGAGGCCCGGACCCAGCAGACGTCTCTGAGGCCCCAATCTCAGAACCCGGGCATCTTCCACCCCACCTTCCTCAGCCCTGCCCTTCCCTCCTCCCTGCTGGGCAGTCTCGGGGACCCTGCCCTGCGGCTCCCCAACATCTTGGGCATGTGCCCTCTCTTTGTCCTCCCAACTTCCTTCCTGATCAGGCTTGCACGTCCGGCCTCCCCTCTGCTTCCATCTCCACCACCCTCTGCCCGGAGCCACTCACCACCCACCCCTCCGCCTGGCCTGCCCCCTGCACAGTTCACGCCTCCCTTCCTGAACTTGGGATGTGTACCAGGTGAGTGACAGCCAGTCCCCAGAGAAAGCATTAGCTCTGCTGGGAATAGTGACCCGGGAGCGAGCGGGTGAGGGAAGGAGTGAGTGAGAGGCAGCCCCGGGTCTGGCAGAGATGGGAGTTGGGGGGGGGGGTGATGTCATTTGTGGGGAGAAGAGGAGGCTCCCAACAGAGAGGAGGGCCCATCAGAGACAAGTCTCTGTCCTGCCAGGGAGGGGGCTGGCTCGGAACCCTGGCCACGGGGGGCACAGTCCTGCCTCTGCCCAGGCCCAGGTTGGACCTCTCCGGCTTCACTCCCCGAGTCACCCGCACACACCCCGGACCACGCCCTGCCCTGCCCTGCCTTGCCCAGGGCCGGAACACCATCTTAGGGCAGTTCCAGTGGGAGCAGCTGTCACCGCACAGGCAGGGCTGTTCTCTCCAACGCCCAGCAGTGCCTGACTGCTCTGGCCACACACGGGCCTATGGCAGATGCTGGGGACACGAAGGGACCCAGGGGCCCTGGCTGTGCCCTCGAGGTGCTGGGAGAGATGGACGCCAACAAAACACAGGCTCTGTCAGTTCCAGTCTTCGCCACTGTTTTCTGCACTACAGGGGTGGGGTGCGGGGGAGAACGTGCCAGCCACACCCGCTCTCAGCGATGCTAAAGCGTTGTCCAGTGGGTGGAAAATGTAGCCCACCAGTCACATGTGATCACAGCCTGAGCGGAGAGCTGCCGAGGAGAGGCCCGAGGGAGCAGAGAGCAAGGGGGCCTCCTTGGAAAAGTGGGGTTCAGGGAGGACAGGATGGTTAAGCCCGGGACGAAGGGGTGAGCAGGAGTTGGCTGGGCCTCTTGGCGGAGGGAAGCGGGACCCCTGTGTCCGTGCTGGGGCAGGAGTGTGCCCAGAGGCCGGTGGCCGGGAGCATTGCGGCTGAAGCAGGAGTGCTCCCTCCCTGGCCAGCAGCTTCCCAGGCCCACGGCCCAGGCCAACCCTTTCGTGGTCCCACTGCCCCCAGCTCAGGAGTCGCTGGCTTCATCCCGCCTGGCTGTGGTCCCTGCTGTATCCACTCCCTTCTCTGGGCTTCTTCCTGGGCTGGGGGTCTAGTTCCCTGCTCCCCCAGAGATTCTGCACTGGGGTCCACCCGCCGCTCCTGCACCCTGACCCTTGCTCTGGGGAGGAGCCCTGCCTCTGGGTGCAGGATGGAAAGGGTCAGTCAGGTGGGGTGGGGGAAGCTGCTCGGATGGACGTCCTGGTGAGGGCTGGTATGCCCGGCAGGTGTGCCCAGCAGGTGTGCCCAGCCAGCCTGCCCACAGGCCACATGCCATGGTTCATGGACACCTCCCTGGGGGCCCCAGGGCGTCCCCGGGGCCACGGTCTGGGAGCCAGGCGGACCAGGTATTCAGTGACTGGGGTTCTCTGGGCGCCCCCTCAGGTATCCCTAGTCCCAGGGGACCTTGGGATCTTGGAGGGCAGAGATGAGGTGCTCCTGCCCCCCACCCAGCACAGGCCCACACAGGGCCACCACCTTGGTTGACCACAATCTACTAACGGTGAGCCGTGTTGTCACTTACAGCACTTCACAGTGCACTTGCCTCTTGGAACCTCAGGGACTGTCACACCAGCCCCAGGATGTCTGCGAGGCCCATGGAGATAAGAAAATTGAGGAGCAGCAAGGCTAGAGGCTAGGACAGTGCCGGGGTCCCCAGCGGGTAAGTGGGGAGGTGGCGAGCAGAATCCAGGCCGGGGGCCTGCAGAGAGGGTAGGCAGATGGGGAGGCAGGTGCTGGGGGCAGGGCCTGGGTGACTGGCTGTCGGTGGTAGGGCCGGCCACGTCTAGCTGCTGGGCACCGCCGGGTGACGGCCGCCCCGGGAGCAGGGGAGCTGGGCTTGTCCAGCCCCAGGTCAAAGCCACACGTGGCCCCGGTGACTGCCGCCTGGGCTGAGGGCACCTTGAGTGCCCAGCTCGAAGACGAAGGCGAGCTCAGGTCCTGGCCCAGGGCCCCACCAACCTCCCTGCTTACTGGTGCACACGGGCGCTCAGCAAGCGCTTGTTGAATGAACAAGTAACTTTCTGAATCTCATAGCTCAGGGGTCCTCAAACTACGGCCCGCGGGCCACATGCAAATACAAATATTGTATTTGTTCCCGTTTTGTTTTTTTACTTCAAAATAAGATATGTGCAGTGTGCATAGGAATTTGTTCATAGTTTTTTTTAAAACTATAGTCCGGCCCTCCAACGGTCTGAGGGACAGTGAACTGGCCCCCTGTTTAAAAAGTTTGAGGACCCCTGTCATAGCTGACGGTGCCCCGGCTGTACTTACACTCCCTCCCTGGCACCCTGTCCTTCCGCGAGAAAGGCCAGACTCCCCAGGCTTGTTCAAGGCCCTGCACACCTGGCCTGGCTGCTGTCAGTCCCCTCATCTTCCCCATCCCCCCACCCCCAAACTCTGACCAAGAGCTCCTTCTCTCCAAACCACAGGTTCTGTCAGGTCACAGTGCATTCCCCGTGACCCTCCAAGACCTGGCTCAGGGCCCCCTCCCTGGGAAGCTGGCCGTGCATGTGGCAGCTGACGCGGCCCTGGTGTCCTGGGGGCGAAGAGGTCGGTTTCAGCGCGCCCCAGCTGTCTGGGTGCCCAGGCCCCGCGCTGGATTTCCTGCTTTGCCAGGACTGGATGGAGCAGGCCCTGATTCACTTTTGGTCTGTGGTGTCCCCCAGAGTGCTCAGCCACAGCGGACCTCCACAAATGCCCTGTGAACTGGGCACAGCCGCCCGGCACAGCTGAGCGAGTTACGGTGCATCAGCTCGAGGGAATATCATGCGGCCATTAAGACCACGATTCGGAAGATGATGTCTGGATATCGAAGAGCCACCGCGAGAGCTACATGCGCACCCTCCATCCCACCTCCCGGCGGAGCGCGCCCTGGGCTGGCCCTGCGCTTGGGATGTGGGCGGCAGGATGGAAAGGATGCAGTTGGACGAGGAGGAAGACATGCACATAATTCCTGAGCAACATGCCAGGGGCCACAGGGGACGGACGATGGAGCCCGAGGGCCCCGCGTCCATCTGGGGGTCTGGGCAGGCGGAACGGAAAGCACAGCTCTGTGAAAATTACAGCTGACGGCGCGGACAGGCCTGGAAGGGCGCGGGGCAACAAGGGCTGTTGACGCCACAGGGCAGCGGCATTGTGGGTGATTTTTCTTTCCTTTCTTATTGGTATAATGTTTGGGCAATAAATAAAAATTGGGAGGAAAAAATGGCCGTTTGGTGAATTGAGTAGAAATCGGGAGGAGGTAAATGGGAAGGGAGAGGTGAGGAAGGAGAACAGAGGTGACAGCCACAGGCAGGGAAGGCCTCACTGTGCCCCTGGGCCGGGGCAGGGGGGGTGGGGGAGCACAG